TAGCATGGAAACAGGCCCTTCGGCCCAAACTGGCTCATGCTGACCATGGTGCTAGTTCCAATTGCCCGCATTTGGTCCTTATCCCTCTAAAACCTTCCCATCCATGTGCATATTCAAATGTTTTTTAAATGCTGCTATTGTACCTGCCTCATCCACTTTCTCTGCCAGCCCATACCATAAATGCACCACTCTTTGCATGAAGAAGTTGCCCTTTAGGTCCTTCTTAAATCTTTCCCCCCTCACCTTAAACCTATGCCCTCTACTTTTCAATTCCACATCCCTGGGAAAAAGTCTATATGCATTCAGCCTAGCTATGCCCCTCAAGGTTTTACATACCTTAATAAGGTCACTCCTCATTATCTTACATTCCAAGGAATAAAGTCCTATCCTGGCCAACCTCTCCCTACTAATCCTGGCAACATCCTCGTAAACCTTCTTTGCACACCTTCCAGTTTAACTACGATTTGAGCTCGCTCTCCAGGTGCACCCTGTAAATGAGAATGGGCATATGCCTTCCTTCAATCCCTTTTCCCAACACCTTGGCACTCTCTGGTGGGAAAAGTTTCCCAGGAGTAGAGTTCAGGAGAATCCATGTACTCTCAGCATCACTACAGACTTGTTCACTGCACTCTGGGGAACTGAGACCATCTTTTCTTTGGATACAAATTCACTGTAACTCCCAGAGATTTGTTTAACCACATCGGCACTCTCAGGAGTTCCCTAACAGGGATTCACAGCTGCTCTCAGAGCCAAAGCCTGGTCTGCTATGCTCTCTCACTGACTCACATTCTCTGCCCAGAAAGGTCCCATTGGTTTTTCCAATAGTTTTCAGCATTGGCCCAGATACGCATATCTTTTGGCGGACTAAAACATACCATTTCTCGGCCTCTCCTTTCAATGGAGAATTATCCTGAGAAGGATTCTCATCATTTCTCTATCTCCCATGGGTGTTCAGTTTCCGATCACTCTCTCCAAGTCCATCCTTCCCAGTTGAAAGATCTCAGGAAGGAACCGATGCTTATCGGTGCAGAGAACGTGGTTTGTTTTGGTTTGAAAGAACTGGTGTTGAGAAGAAGGAATGCATCATCTGAAATTCTGTCCTCTCAGGAAAAGGCCTGACTAGATGAAGCTGAAAGTTGAAAGGCGGAAGTATTTGCTTTTGACCAATGAGTACGGACACTTACAACAGAAAGGTACCTGAGCAGATGGCTTCAATTTTAAAAACAAAGTATTGATGAGATTCTTAATTCTAGTTTGGTGGCATGTGTGAGGGAGGAAACCTGTGGGAAGTGACTAATGGATTATTGTAAAGAGAAATATTTTACCAATAAAGGTACTTATGGTTAATTGTGGACATTTACCGAAAGAACATTCATAATTGCCTTACGGTACTAGAAAGCTGCATTTAGAAGTAGAGGTTTGACAGTAGGGGTCACAGTTTCAAGATTGTCAGCAAGACAACTAGGAATGAGATGAGGAGAAACTTCTTGACTCAAAGAATTGTTAATATTAGGAATGTGCTCCCTGAGGGTGAAGAAGGGAGATTTCTTCTGCAACAAGGCTTTGCACATCACATTATAGCCATCAACCAATATGGCTGCCTGCCTTGATCCAGTCACTCACTTCTCCACTCCTGTATTTTTTTATTGAAGGGGATAGAGTTTTTAAACTGCCCAGGGACATTTATTTCACACAAGTGCCTTTCTGTTGTAAGTGACCGCACCCATTGGTCAAAAGCAAATTCTTTAGCCTTTCAACTTCCAGCTTCATCTGGTCAGGTCTTTTCCTGACAGGACAGAATTTCAGATGGTGCTCCTCCTCCAGCACTAACTGGTATGTACTTACAATAGCCATTTCTTGTTGGCTTAAAATCAGGGTCTGTTTCCTCGAGCAAGAGAGAATAAACTTTGTGAGGTTTACACTGCAGTAATAAGGAGCAATGTTGAACTAGCCAGCTGATTGGAAGGGATAAGACCACAAGAAATAGGAACAGGAGTCGGCAATTTAGCCCCTCGAGCGTGTTGTACATTCATAAAAAGAAAGCCTCCATCACTGTCTCCTCAAACTTAGGAATTAAATTAGGATTTCATTAAGATTCCTACCTCTCAGCTTGAGCTGTCTTATTTCAAATTCCCTTTCCTGTCATCTTTCCTGAAATTCTCTCTCCTTGCCCTTTCTTGTCTTTCCCATTTATCTCTCTTCTCTTTCTTTTCCTTTCCTCTTTCTTTCGCATTCCTCCTCTTTTTCTTGGAATTCTGATTTCTGCTGCATCTATTTTGATCCCTCCATCACTACCCTACCTATTTTATCAGTTTCCACATGTGTACCTTCAGCCACCTCTTTTAAAATTGGGGTTTCCCTGGTTTTTGGGGTAAAATTCTAATTCCAAGTACCTTGTTAGATCTTTTCGCTGTTTAAGGCACAAAACATTTTCATCATCAAAAGTAACTTTCTCTAATTCAGCTAAAAACGCACTGGCCTTGAATGTGGGAGTTTCTGCACTGTACCAATGGAAAATCAAGAAAGCCTCTTGCAGTTTCCCCTTTAAAAATTGGTTTTAAATCAAAATTTACCCACTCTAATGATTTCATTTTGGTTGTGGGTTCAAGTCGTGGACACAAGACCCCAATTTGTTTTTTGGTACATCCATAAGGACCCTCATCAACTTTTACAGGTGTACCATAGAAAGCATTCTATCTAGGTGCTTAATAGACCGGGTACAGCAACTGCTCTGCCCAGGACTGTAAGAAGTTACAGAAGGTTGCGAACACAGCCCAGACCATCAAGCAAGCCAGCCTTCCATCTATTTACTCCATCTACGTTTCTTGTTTCTGCGGAAAGGCAGCCAACATCATCAAATACCCCTTCCACCCCATTTATAATCCCTTCCAACCTCTTCAGTCAGGCAGACAATACAGAAGTTTAAACACACATACAAACAGGTTCAAGAACAGTTTCCTCCTTGCTGTTAATAGATTTCTGAATGGACCTCACAAATTTCACATCTAATGTTGATCTTGCTTTTAATTCACCTTCTCTGACACCATAACTTTGTATTCCTCGCTCTGTTCAATCACACCACGATCGTTGTATGTTATGATCTGCCAAAACTTTTCACTGTACTTAGGTACATAGGACAATAACAAATCAAATCAAATCAAATTATGACCAGACCCTGGGCAAGGCTCCTGAAATGATTACAGTTCCAAATGACATATGCCAAGTGGTTAAACTCCTGGCTAAGGAGAAATAAACTCACTTCTCTTCCTTGTTCACTGCCTCTCTTAGATGGTTGCAACAAGGTTCATTTAGAAAAGATCACATCCTTATTGTGACCACACACCCTTTCAGACCACTATAATTTATTTATTTTTATTCATTTGTGGGAGGTGGGCATCGCCGCCTGGCCAGCATTTCTTGCCCATCCCTAGTTGCCCTTGAGAAGGTGGTGGTGAGCTGCCTTCTTGAACCACTGCAGTCCTCCTGCTGTGGGTTGACCCACAATGCTATTAGGGAGGGAATTCCAGGATTTTGACCCAGCAACAGTGAAGGAACAGTGATATATTTCCAAGTCAGGATGGTGAGTGACTTGGAGGGGAACTTGAAGGTGGTGATGTTCCCATGTATCTGCTGTCCTTGTCCTTCTAGATGGAAGTGGTCGTGAGTTTGGAAGGTGCTGCCTGAGGATCTTTGGTGAATTTCTGCAGTGCATCTTGTAGATAGTACACACTGCTGCTACTGAGCATTGGTGATGGAGTGAGTGAATGCTTGTGGATGTAGCGCCAATCAAGCGGGCTGCTTTGTCCTGGATGGTGTCAAGCTTCTTGAGTATATTTTAAAATGAACTGACTTAACTAGGCTATCTTGAGTTAACAAAAGAGTGAGTTTATTAATTACTAAATGTGTGAAAAAATATTATAATGCAACAAACAAACATAGTTGAGAAATGAGAAGCATGTCCAAAAAAAGCTAACAGTTTAAAAAAGATATACGGCATCAGTCTTAGGGTTGTTCTGAAGCGTAGACAGTGGAACATTACAATAGCTCCTTGGAATTCACCAATAACATTAATGCTGGTTGTTGAACATCGATTTTGAGATCGTTGGCTTATTTGCGGTTAGTCTGCACATTTTTTGGTCTGGCTCCTTTCAAAAGTATCAGCACCTGGACCGAGAGAGATACTTTTCTCTTTACCTGTAGTGCAGGTGTGTTTATTGTCTATTCTAAATGTGTGGCCTTCACAGCACACTAATGCACAAACTATTATATCAGACTAATAACTCACACAGACAAAGGTCTTTAACCCCTTTTTAGTTTATCTCTGGAAGGGTAACAAACATAATGCAGGAGATGGCTTTCAGCAGTTAGAGGAGGGGGAGGTTGGATAGCCTGCATCATGTTCACTCTTGATGTTTGTTTGAATAAGTACAGGTATGACATTCTGTGGGGTCACACATGATTCTGCCAGACCGTCACTGAACTTACATCTGCAGCTATTTTTGGCTGTATTCTCCCTCTTCTAAAAATCCCATGTTGGCTTGGAAAGTTCAGTATGTCCATAAGCACTTTGGGATGCTGATCTGTTGTCATGACTCTTTCCTTGCATTCTTTAGGAAAGGAAACCTGGCCATAAGGGACTCCAAACCTTCACTGACCTAACTCATTCTTACTTTAGCCCACAAGTGACCTAGCAAAACACTTAGCTGTGCCAAACCAGGACAAGTACCTGAAGGAAGTGCCATCAGCTCCTTTTCAGGCAAAATGGCAATAAATGTTGGCAATGCCACCATATGCTGAGAATGAGTGAAAATAAAGGGAAGGTTAACTGTAGCCAGGATATAGGACTCTGTCAAAAGAAGTGCAAGACACTGCTGTGGAAACACTCGTAGTCATTTGTACGACCATTCGATGAGAAAGCTCACTTACACCTGCCTACCCTGAGACATTTGTGATTGCTAATACATGCATATTTCTTTCTTTATCTCTTCCATTTTTTCCAGTAAAGATAGTGCTCACTCGAGCGCTAATGATTACAGCAGACATTCTGGCAGGCTTTGCACTTATTATATTAATGTTTGGATTGGACTGTGTGAAGATTCTAAGAGACGAACCTCAGATCAAATTAAGGATCTGTTACATGGCAGGCTTCATTTTTGGAATAGGAGGTGAGTCTGACACATTCGATTGTTTTAAGAACATATTTTTTAAAAAGGTGTTCAATCAAATAATTGCAGAGTAATCTCCCAATGATGCAGTTGGTCTAAGCATGAAGTGTGCTGTACAAGCTAGGAAGTCGTATTGTTGCTGTCTGTACTCAGTGAGCTGGCTTTAGATTATAGGTAAGCAACAATTAGCTTCTCTATTCCAGATAGTGAGGGGTAATAGCAGTCAGTTTTGGTTTCTCTCACTCCTGCAGACTGTGGGCATTAGATAAAGACAGCACTAGATTTAATTTAATGCCCAATTGACAAATGGGGGTCAACTAGCTTGGATGCTGGTTTGATGCAATGCAAAGGGATGCTAACAGTGTGGGCTCAATTCCTGCACTAGTTGAGATTATCGTAAAGGGCGCTTGAACTCTCCCCTTGCTTGTGGTGTGGCGACCCTTAGGTTAAACCATCACAAGGTGCCTCTCTCTAATGAGAGACCAGTCCTGGTAAGACTATGGTACCTTTACCTCAATTATCAAATAATGACGTGGAAGCTTGGCTTTTGTGATTGGTGCGTCAATATAATGCCAATCCACAAGTTTAGGTTTTCCTGTCAGGAGTTAGAATGGTTTTGTGGTCAAATTGCCAGGCTCATAATCCAGCAAAAGATACTGCCTTCAGGAAAAAGGGAGGGAATTGTGGAAAATTATATATTTATGCATTACCTTTACCAGAAAAAGACATTGGGAGAATTCTTGTGTGTCAGCCAGAACAAATGATGTGATGACATAAATTATCCTTTGTTTTATTATAAAAGCATCAAAGGCAAGATAAAATAAATTAGACAAAGAGATGCAGTTTGGTTGACTGAAACTTGTTCATCTAATGATGAGTCTTTGGAGTTAGACCTTAAAATGTACTTCTATTACCAAAGGTTTGTTTCTTCAAAGCCAATTTTTATTTTAGGTTTTAAATGTCATGATTTTCAGTTTCCAGCTATCTTCTTAATTAACCTGTTCAGAGATATTATTATGCTTCTTGGAGCAATTGGAACTTAAACCTAGATCACCAAACTCAAAGTTGGGGACACTACCATTGCACCACAACAGCTCCCCATGATGTTTTTTATAAGCTTGTTAAGATTCCATTGGTGTTAAGGATGGTAAAGATCAGCACTTGAACTCATTGAAGAAACAGCAAGGTGAAAAGATGTACCCAATTGTGGGTAAGAAGTCAGAATATTGGTTATGAGAAGGAAATATGTTTATTAATGGGAAGAAAAGTATGCTGACAATGGGAAATCTGTCTGGTTGGGCAGTGCAAGATGGTAGGATGGAAATACAGGATTTTCTTCACCCAAAGCCTGTCTCTGGTCTTTGGTAAGCCCTCAATCAGACGGGATGTGCTGGACTGACATGGTTATTGTCTATCTGCAGGAATTCCAGGAATGATCGGTTCTGTGTGGTACGCTGTGGATGTGTACGTGGAAAGAGCAACATTGGTACTGCAGAATGTCTTTTTAGGAATCCAGTATGAATTTGGTTGGTCTTGCTGGTTGGGAATGGCTGGGTCAACAGGCTGCTTCTTGGCTTCTATCATGTTAACCTGTTGCCTTTATCTTTTCAGAGGTAAGCTGAACCAAAATTGCGTCCGCGATAAGGTTCCCTCTTTCCCTGCTGAGACTTGTTCCTTAGGCACTAATTATCTTTGAGACATGTTAACAAATGCCATGGGCTGCACAGTGGCTCAGTGGTCAGCACCTGCTGCCTCACAGTGCCAGGGAGGAGTTTGCGCATTCTCCCCAAGTCAGCCTGGGTTTTCTCCCATAGTCCAAAGATGTGCAGGTTAGGTGATTTGGCCATGCTCAATTACACATAGTGACCAGGGATGTGTAGTTTAGGTGGGTTAGCCATGGCAAATGCAGGGTTACAGGGATTGGGGGGGTGGATCATAGCTTACCTGAGTGTGTTACAGATTCTGCATTCCCATCAATTCCCACAATAAACTGTGCTTCTCCTTTATTCACTTTTATTCATTCACGGGATGAGGGCATCGCTGGCTAGGCTGCATTTAATGCCCATCCCTAATTGCCCAGAGGGCAGTTAAGAGTCAACCACATTGCTGTGGGTCTGGAGTCACATGTAGGTAAGGATGGCAGTTTCCTCCCCTAAAGGGCATTAGTGAACCAGATTTGTTTTTCCCGATAATCAACAATGGATTCACGGTCATCATTAGATTCTTAATTCCAGATATTTATTGAATTCAAATTCCACTATTTGCCATGGTGGGATTCCAGTCCAGGTCCCCAGAATATTATCCAGGTCTCTGGATTAATAGTCCAGTGATAATACCACTAGGCCATTGCCTCCCACCTCCCCTGCCTAACAAGAATCTATCTATCTCTACCTTAATAACATTCAATAACCCTGCTTCCATTGCATGGAAGTTCCAAAGACACACATCTCTGTGAGAGAAAAAAAGGCCCCCTCATCTCTATCCTAAAAGGGTGACTCCTAATTTTAGTGCAATGTCCCCTAGTCGTCGACCCACCCATGAGAAGAAACATCCTTTCCATGACAACCTTGTCAAAGCCATCCAGGTATGAACTTCAATTGAGTAACATCTTTCTCTTTAAAACTCCGTGAAAACAAGCCCAGCCTGTCCAATCTTACCTCATAGGACAACCAGAGTCAATAACTGTCAACAGCCTATTTAAGCAGAGACAATCAGATGCTTTACATACGAACGCATGCAATCACACACATACACACACAGTTTACAGCCTAAGCCATAGTGATCTCCTGTGGTGCAGTGTTTGTGTCTCTACCACTGGGTCTGAAGGTCAAGGATCAAGTCTCACTTTGCTCCAGAGGTGTGTTGTACCATATCTGAACAGGTCAATTAAAAATATCTACAGTCATTGTCATCGGATTACTATCAGGAATACAGACCCCTGCTGTTTCTTTCTCCCTTTTTTCCCAGAAAATGGTTGCAACTCCAAAACCAGTTGGTATCAGCAAAGTCAATATAGATGTTGACTGAACCTCTAACCTTACTTAGCAGCCTGGTTCATTGTATTCCTGAAGAAGGGACTTTTTTTTCTATTTTAAAGTCTTTAAATTTTATGACATTGTGAAGAAAAAGAAAATATTCCACTTTCCTGCTGTTGTTTCAATTCTTATTGGGGCATTTTGAAATTTAGAGGGCTTGGCTACTTAGGACTGATGTGAGGAGAATGTCTTATGTATTTTTGAAATTCTCTACCCCGGAGATGGAGTTGCTCAGTTGTTGGCCAATATCCATAGATGTTGGAATATTAAGCGAATTAGGAGCTAATATGGGAAGATGGAGTTGAAATGGAAGATCAGTCCTGATTGCATTGAGTGATGCATCTAGTTTGAAGGGTTGAATGATCTACTCCACCTTTCATTATTATGACCTTATGTTTTAAATCCATCCCCTCAGTATGGCATAGCAACTCTACACAGCAGAGGTGCTCAGAATCACTGGAGCACAAATGATGGAAATCTCATTGGACTGAATACTCAAAGGCAGTATCACATTGGTACGGCCCATCCTTATTAAGAGAGAGTCATTGACATTAGACAGGACTTCTGATGGGAAATTCGGGACGTGTTTTTTTTAAGTAATCGGGGCAGATCCTTGCGCAACTTCCTGCCTGCACCTTTTGAGGTTATTTTCGGCTTAGGACCTGGCCTAACTGGAGAGGAAAATTAACGCCTGTACACTCTTAGAAACAGCATCTGGAATGACATTTCTTTCTGTTTCATCAAACAGATTTGAGAACCGCCCGATACAATCTATCCTTCTATCAATATGGGAGAACAGCCACTGGCAAAATGTACGCCATGGATTCACGTGTCTAGAAGCCTTTGCTCTAGAACTGTGTACTAGAGTTCCATACAGCAGCTTCTCCTGTCTGTCAAAGGACATGTATTATCCTTAAAAACAAAGTGAAAGGCTACATATTGCAGCTGGTTTTAATTGTCAATGCTTTTGAATTGTTGCGTTGAGTAACACTGAATCGCCAAGTGGAGGCCCTGATGTAGTTTAGTCAAATGCAATCATCAAGTGAAATCACAAATTTCTATTTAGAAGAGTAAATTGTTTTAATAAATCCTTTACAGTTGTGATGAAAAGCTTGATATCACGTGACAAAAAGAATAAAACAATCCTTTGGAAAGTGTCAGAGTTTTATACGTCACATCTGTGTAGTGCCTGAAGTAAGTTGCAAATAAATGAAACCTGCTAATTGTTCAATGGAATGTTAAGGAAGGTAATGAAGCAGAAATATCATGAAAACTGCTGCCCATGGGGTAGAAAGGGTCTTTTGAACCTTGGTGCCACTCACTTTCAAGGGCAAAAATTTGACTGGTAAGTAAACTGTGCTGTTTGTAAAATGCAACTTCTAGACTTTTCTCCTAAAATAGGAATAGTCAAGGCTGAATAGAGTAGGAGGGTAAACTGCTAGCGGTATTTATGCAATGCCAAACTCTGTAGACTTTAGAACGAGCCAATAGGAAAAGATGCATTGTTTTTTGAAAAGATGAGTTGATATAGGCAACAGTATATTGAGATTTGATTTCAACAAAGTGAAGATATATTTCTGTGACATTGGATTCTTTGACTTTCTCAAAGTGGGATAAAAAAGATCAGGTAACTTGGTGTGTTGTGGTCACGTTGCACCGAACTTGGGCTTCTATTCATTGTTGTTAATCCAAGAAAACGCATGTGATGTCCACAGAGAGCTCTGTCATCTCACCATTAGTGATTGCCTGTCTCTTCCTTAACCATCATGCCTTGGTTCCCTGCAATGGTTCAGTGGCTAAGTTCAAAACCCATTGTTCTATTGAGCTACAGGTATCACCCAAACTTCAAATGTAATCCTCAGTCAGTTGGCACTTTTCAGGCAAAGTGAGGATCCCCAGTATCCTTGAGCTGATGAGTACAAAATCAGCCAGAGATCCTGTTTCTGACCCCTAACCAGCTACTCTATTGTGAAGTGCATATGTCTGAAAGGTGGAGTTTGACTGGCTTACAAAGTAAAATACATGAGAACCTTTAATATGTAGGCTCACATAGTGATCAGTCTCTCGGAAGAGCCTCGGGAAGGTGACTGGCATGTTGCAAGTTTAACCCTAGCAGGAGCCAAATTCTTGACAAGTGGAGCGGAGGACTTTGAGAAGTGGGCTGGAGTTTTCCTGTCATGAGGTTTTAGTTTTGATTCCATGCTCACAGAGAGAACAGCCTTACTAGGAATGCATCTCAGGAAACCTAACATTGCTCAGAGATGTTTGATCAGCTCTGTTATTGCTTCCCAGAAATATGTTAGATGCAAATTGAATGACTATTATTTATATTCTGGAAGCATTTACTGGAGAATCTGGCTATGCGTACAGTTCCGGTCATCCTGCTATAAGAAGGATATTATTAAATTGGAGAGAGTGCAGAAAAGATTTAAAAGGATGTTACTGGGATTACAGGGTTTAAGTTATAAGGAGGGGGCTGGATAGACTGGGACTTTTTTCACTGGAGCGTGGGACGTTGAGGGATGACCTTATACAGTTTTATAAAATCATGAGGGACATAGATAAGGTGAATAGCAAAGGTCTTTTCTCTAGGGTAGGGAGTTCAAAACTAGACGGCATAATTTTAAGGTGAGAGAAGAAAGATTTAAAAGGGACCTGAGGGGCAATGTCTTCATACAGAGGGTGGTTCATATGTGGAATGAACTGCAAGAGGAAGTGGTAGATGTAGGTACAGTTATACACATTTGGATAATTACATGAATAGAAAAGGTTTAGAGAGATATGGGACAAACAAAGACAAATGGAACTAGTTTAGCTTAGGAAACCTGGTCAGCACGGACTAGTTGGACCGGAGGGTCTGTTTCTATGCTGTATGACTCTATGACTCTGTTGGTCTCAGATTGACAGATTCAATCTGAAATGTGTTTCTGAAGAATTCCTTTGCAAATATAGATATTGTTTACTTGGACTTTAGTAAAGCCCTTGACAAGGTTCCACATGGTAGACTAATTAGTAAAGTTAGATCACATGGGATTCAGGGTGAGCTTGCTAATTGGATACAAAATTGGCTTAATGGCAGAAGACAGAGAGTGATGGTGAAGAGTTGTTTTTTGGACTGGAGGCCTGTGGCTAGCGGTGTTCCACAGGGATCAGTGCTTGGTCCACTTTTGTTGTTGTTTATATAAATGATTTAGATGACAATATAGAAGGCATGGTTAGTAAGTTTGCAGATGACACCAAGATTGGCGGTATAGTGGACAATGAAGAAGATTATCTAAGATTAGAAAGACATCTTGTTCAATTGGGTCAATGGGCTGAAGAGTGGCAGATAAAGTTTAATTTGGATAAATGCAAGGTATTTAATTTTGGTTAAACAAACAAAGACAAGACTTATATAATTAAAAGTAGGATAGAATTGTAGAACAGAGAGACCTAGGGGTTCAGATACATAATTCTTTGAAGTTTGCATCACATGTAGACAGAATGGTTAAGAAGGTGTTTAGCATGCTTGCCTTCATTGCTCAGTCCTCTGAGTATAGTAGGAGTTGGGGCATTATGTTGAGGTTGTACAGGATGTTGGTGAGGCCTGTTCTGGAATACTGTGTCCAGTTCTGGTCTCCCTGTTATAGGAAGGATATTTTTAAGGTGGAGCGGGTTCAGAAGAGATTTACTAGGATGTTGCCAGGAATGGAGGGTTTGAGTTATAACGAGAGGCTGGATAGGCTGGGATGTTTTTCACTGGAGTGTTGGATGTTGAGGGGTGACATTGTAGAGGTTTATAAAATAATGAGGGGTATAGATGAGGTGAATGGTGGGTGTCTTTTCGCTGGGATGGGGAATTTTGAGACTAGCAGGCATATTATTAAGTGATTGGAGAAAGATTTAAAAAACACATGAGGGGCAAATTTTTTTTACACAGAGAATGGTTTGCATGTGGAGTGAACTTTGAGAGGAGATGGTGGATGTGGGTACAGTTACAATATTTAAAAGACATTTAGATAAGTACATGAATAAGAAATGTTTGGAGGGGTACGGGCCAAGCACAGGCAGGTGGGACTAGGTTAGTTTGAGATTATGGTCGGTGTGGACTGGTTGGACTGAAGGGTCTGTTTCTGTGTTGTATGTCTCTATGACTGTACATTCTTCATCACATGTTCTCATTCTATTCTGAGTTAGCCTCAAGATTGAGGACTATGAATTAAAAAGAAGTGCAGGAAATGTAGGTTGATGGCATGCTAGCATCTACTTGATGAAAATTTGGACAAACATGTTCCTTTACTGCAGAGCTGATTGGGAATCGCATCTCATGCTTTGCCATTGGTGACCCACAGAGAAACCTGCTCCTGTGCCTGAGGGTCTCTCTGCCTGGCACAACCATCGTTGTTCATTCACTCACTGTAACCGTGAGCAAGAAGATGGGGCTGTTTTTCCAAAGCTGTGCCATTCCAACAGAAACAAAAGAAACATTTGTTAATAATTTAAATGGGACCCATTGCCCCTGCAGATACTTTTCTCTGGCCTCTGGAAAAACAATTGGTGTCCCAAGTTACCATCCCGACAGTGCAGATGGAGGCCATTCAGGCCATCAAGTCTGCACCAACCCTCTGCAGAGCATCCCACGTACATGCCGTATTTACTACGGCCAATCCACATAATCCGCAAATCTTTGGACTGGGGGAGGAAACCCACAAATACACAGGGAAAATGTGCAACCGCCCCACTTACAGTTGCCTGAGGCTGGAAGCAAACCTTGGCCCCTGGCACTGTGAGGCAGCAGTGCTAACCACTGAACCATCACGGCTGAATAAGTAAAATCAAGAGTACAATAAACCATAAGCTCAGACTTCAGACTCATCAGCCTTTGTGTCAAGGTTTTCTTGAGAATAGCCTTCCAGGGGATTAGAATTTTGTCTAAAAGAAGCACAGTCTAAAGGAATTCGGGGAAATACTTACAGACTCTAGTCTCTGGGAAACAATATGTTGACCGATCCTCTTAACATCGAATTTATTCATGGAAGTTTTTGTTTGGCTCCCTTTCCCTGCATGACCCATGTCTTTGTGACACAGTGAATTTCCTGTGAATTAGAAAGTGAAATGTTATTTTGATTTTGGGCAGTACATGTCTCCTGTACTGATAGATTAGGAAAGCGATTATTGCAACACTTTTCAAACACGTGGCTGTAATGGCCAAGACAGATTCCCAGACGTGAAGATTAAAATTCAGGATCCCCTACACTTCTTCTCATGTATCAGGGTTTGTTGTGAAGGTATGGCAGCCAAAGCAATTTGTGTTGTTAAGGGCCACTATCATTGTTCATTACAAAGTCATTGTCTCCTCATCTGACCATCAAGACACCAGTCTTCCTTGTGCTTGGTTTCACAGAGACCTCAATGTTATGCTATTTGTCTTGGCAACTGTGATGCCAGCCCACATTCCAACAAGGGTTCACTGGGTGGACACCAGGAATGCAGACACTGGCTGGTCTCCCTGGCGTCTGTATGGAGAATTTAAATGGGACCCGAACAACCACTTTTATCATACACAGTTCACCTTGCATTGTTGGAGAATGCCAGCTACTATTCTCAGACTGAACGACTGGCAGATCTATTTCCAACTTGGTTTGGAGGATACTCTTTATGTCTCTCATCGCGTGTTCACATGAAAGTCTTGTTGCCCTGGGTTTGCCTTGTGCAAAAGGTCAAAAGAGGCCTCTCCCCACTGATATCCTGATTGGAAGTGATCCCAAGATATTGTAGTAATGTTTTAGAATGATAACGGTGCATGTATTTATTCACAAGGCCACAAGGGGGCACCCTGTTAATCAGCAACCAGCATTGTGGAGGCAAGATATTTTGTTACAACTACTGCATTTATATGGCCTCCCTTAATGTGATATCCATTCCACTGACACTCCCACTGTTATTCACACTTAAACCAATTAATATTTGAACAGAATATTGTTCAGCTAAAATTGATCCCTCTGAATAAGAATTCTTTCAGTTCCATACATTATCTTGTGATTTAAAAACAAACATTGACACATTAGTTTGTCAGTGATAATGCAGCCACTGTGGTGAAGCATTTCACCGATTATCTGATTCAATTTCTTGAGTGCTCTTGGAGTTGCATACATCCAAGCCAGTGGCAGGAATTCCATCACATCCTTGACTTGTGCCTTGTAAATGGTGAATAGACTTTGGGAAGTGAGGAATTGAAATATTCACAGGAAAACCTGCAGCCTTTGACCTACTCTAGTAGTCACTGTCTTTATTTAGCTGGTCCAGTTCAACCTCTGGAGCTGTTGTGGTGGTGACGGATTTGACAATGCTAATTTCATGCCGGGAGAAGTGGTTAGATGCTGGTTGCTGACACTGATGTGTCAAAGTCAACACAGTGTGGAGCTGGAGGAAAGCAGCAGGTCAGGCAGCATCAGAGGAGCAGGAAAGTTGACATTTTGGATTTACGCCCTTCATCAGTCTTGAAACGTCGACTTTCCTGCTCCTCTGACGCTGCCTGACCTGCTGTGTTCCTCTAGCTCCACTCTTATTGACTCTGACTCCAGCACCTACACTCCTTGCTATCTCTGACTAATGTGTCAAATGTTACTGGCTATTTATCAGTTCAACCCATTGTGTTGTGGAAGACTTGGCTCAGGCAAAAAAACATTTTAATTCTCAGAGAGTTGCAAATGGAACTGAACCCTGTGTAATCATCAGTGTTCATCTCCATGTATGACCTTATAAGGTTGTTGATGAAAGGGCTGGAAATTGGTAATCCTCAGGCACTAGCCTGAGGGATGGCTGTAGGTTCCTGGGGCTGACAAGATTGACTTCAGTCACCACAACCTTTCCACTCCCACATGACTCCAGTAAATGGAGAATTTACCCTGATTTCCAGTGACTTCAGTTTTACTAGGGGTTTCTCAGGCAACTATTCTCTTGATGTCAGAGGTCTTTATAAAGTCAGTGTGTTAAAATAACTCTCACGTTGCTGCTCTCAGTTTCAACATGGCTGTTAGGCAATACAGCACATGTGTGAAATTTGGTTTCACACAAAAAGAACAAACTGAAATGCTAAGAGAATGTGGCATAATCAACATTTATTGGAAACCATATCTCCTTCCAAGCTACAGCACTGTAACCAGACAGACTGTTGACATTTGGTTAGTCGAACCAATTTGTTTATTAAGGAAATGCATGTTTACTAAAACTGGTTTGTTCCCAACAGCACAATCAAAGCTACAATGTGCCAGGGCTCGGGGGATTGAGCTATAGGGAGAGGCTAAACAGGCTGGGGCTATTTTCCCTGGAGGCTGAAGGGTGACCTTATAGAGGTTTATAAAATTGTGAGGGGTTGTATCGGATGAATAGCTGGGGTCTTATTCCCAGGTTAGGGGAGTCCAAAACGAGAGGGTGTAGGTTTAAGGTGAGAGGGGAAAGGTATGAAAGGGACCTAAGTGAAAACTTTTTCATGCAGAGGATGATGAGCTGCCAGAGGAAGTGGTGGAGGCTGGCACAATTACAACATTTAAAAGGCATCTAGATGAGTATATGAATAGGAAGGGTTTAGAGGGATATGTGCTAAATGCTGGCAAATGGGACTAGGCCAGATTGGGATGTCTGGTCAGCATGGTGAGTTGGACCAATAGGTCTGTTTCTGTGCTGTACATCTCTATGACTCTATGACATTGACTGAATGCAAAGTAAGATACACTACACTTTTTCTCAGTCAGTGGCCAGATAAACACAAGTTCAGCATTACATTGCAGACAGTGAGACTATGTAAAGTTCAGCCTTATTGAATCTATTATGAGACATACATTTTTCCAATAGTAGGACAGGATGCTGGCAAGGCATGTTTGTACTGGTCAGTTAGAGATCAGAATGTGGGATTTCTCTTTTTCCCTCAGAGATAGTAGGAACTGCAGATGCTGGAGAATCCGAGACAACAAGGTGCAGAGCTGGATGAACAGCTCTGCACCTTGTTTTCTCTTTTTCCCTGTTGATTTTGGGACAGTGTGCTGACACAAGGAGGACTCCAGCTAGGCACACACACAACACTCCAGTAGAGGCCAGCCAACAGGAGTAAGTGATTCCAGGCACCCCAAAGCTAACCTGCAGAGAGGGTGGAGAAAAAAGCTTGTCATGGAAATAATGAGTGCCAATTCCTCCATCAAAAGTAAGCCTTGGTTCTTTGATCAGCACCATATAAACTGACATTTCGTATTGCATTTTGGTAAAACAAGTAAGGGCAGGATTTATGCAATTAAAAGTAGAGTGGCAGAACAGAGAGACCTAGGAGTTCAGGTACATCATTTGTTGAAGTTTGCATCATGTAGGGTGACACAGTGGCTCAGTGGTTAGCACTGCTGCCTCACAGTGCCAGGGACCTGGGTTCGATTCCACCCTTGGGTGACTGTCTGTGTGGAGTCTGCACATTCTCCCTGTGTCTGTGTGGGTTTCCCCCAAGGTGCTCCAGTTTCCTCCCACAGTCCAAAGATGTGCAGGCTAGGTGGATAGGCCACAGTGTTCAGGGATGTTTAGGTTGGGTGGGTTAGAAGCACAGGGGTAGGGGAATGGCTCTGGGTGGGATGCTCTTTGGAGGGGTGGTGTGGCTTTGTTGGGCTGAATGGCCTGTTTCCACACTGTAGGGATTCTATGATATACAGAGGATGGTTAAAAAGGTGTTTAGCATGCTTGCCTTCATTGCTCAGATCTTTGAATATAGGAGTTAGGATGTCATGTTGAGCTTGTACAGGATGCTAGTGAAGACTCTTCAGTTCTGATCACCCTGTTATAGGAAGACTATTATTAAGCTGGAGAGGGTTCAGAGGCAATTTAACAGGATGTGGTAGGGAATGGAGTGTTTGAGTTATAAGGAGAGACTGAGTAGGCTGGGACTTTTTTCACTGGAGTGTGGGAGGTTCAGGGATGGCTTTATAGAGGTTTATAAAATAATGAGGTGTACAGATAGGGTGAATAGCAGGTGTCTTTTCCCTAGGCTGGGGAATTTCAAGACAAGGGGACATATTTTTAAGGTGAAAGGAAGAAGATTTGAAAAAAAGAAATGGGGGCAATTTTTTTACTAAGTGGAAGTAATGGATGTGGGCAGAGTTACAATATTTAAAAGACATATGGATAACTACATGAATAAGAAATGTTTAGAAGGATATGGGCCAAGCTCAAGCGGGTAGGACAAGTTTAGTTTGGGATTATGGTCGGAATGGTTGGACTGAAGGATCTGGTTCTGTGTTGTGTGACTATAAAACTATGAATCTATGACAGACTTTCAGGAGTTGTGCACAGTTCAGGTCAGCAAACTGAAACACACATAATCGGACTGCCATTTCACAGTGGCAAACACAAAGTCAGCAACTCCCAGAGATACAGCAATGTCAAAATGTGCGTCTATTTAAACAACAATCATATCAAATTCTGATAAAAGGACACAAAGCTGAAAACTCAATTCTCTTTCTCTGTTGTAGGACTAGCTGAGTATTTCCAGCATTTTCTGTTTTCTTTTTATTTCAGGTTTCCAACATCTGCAGTATTTTGCTGTTCTATGCTAAATTCTTTAAGGTTCAATTGGATGAGGGTACAGGAACACCAATTCATATCTATATATTAATAAAGGGTGGACCCACTGGTCTGAAATCTGTACACTTGCAACTTACAGAAATGGTTCATAAAACCTGCTCAATGTCACTGTGGCCAGGAATAAATGTGTTAATAAATAAGCAAACACAAACTTTTTTTGTTACAATGAACAAAGGGAAGCTTAAAAGAATAATGGTAACAAGCAGAGTGGACTAAAGATGTTTTTTAAGATAACACACTTCATTTGCCACGGTGGTGAATCATCTTGAACTAGCCCAGAAAGTGAGCAAGATCAAACTTCATCTCTGCAACGCTAAATAATCCTCTAGCCCCAGACGACTGCTAAGCAAATTGAGTTGCCAGTGGGTGTGATCTTAGAGGGCAAGACTGCCCAATATTCAGCACTAGTCTTCGAGAAACTGCAAGGAAATTGCAGCAAGTAGAAAAATAGCAGATATTGAATGAGTGCTGTCCTGCACAGCAGTCAAGATGTGTTTAGGGGCAGCGCCAATGAATCTTTTCCTGTATCCAGGTTGACCTGACATGAAAGGTTAAATTCACCAATTTTGTGCAAGCTATCAGCGAACCATTGTTGATCAGACTATGTGTCAGAGAATCAGTTGTGCCTCTTTCCTGTGCTAAACTTGCTGCTGGAAATTGAACAGGTGCTGTTGAAACTAACTGGCAGGTGCCCCTCACTGAGTGTGCTGGCACATGTAGGAGCTCTGCAAGTCTGATTGTGCTTAGTGTCTCTACAGACAATCATGTATGTAAGGCTGGTTACACACCTCTTTCTTTAAGTAGCTCTCCTATGTTTTAATTCCAATGTTACACATCCATGTCTTTGCACGAATGCCAGAACCTTGACAAAACCCCATTTGACTGACAGACCTGTGAAATTCGACAGCAAGTCCACTTGTAATTCCATGGGGTATTGACAATGGCTGTTCATTAACATTAAGTACAGAATGGCTTCCAAAGATGAAACGTACCTCAAAATTGTACTTAATGGTTGTCTCAGCTGTGTACCAAGTCATGCCAATGCTGCCAGCAATACCTACTTGGAAAGAAAATGAAGGCTTCCCATTAAAATAAACAACAGAAATATGTTACATGCGTTAGGCTCCTGTGGTGATGGTGGTGGTGGTGGGTTTGGTATTCATGATGGGAGGGTCTCTCCTCATCCTGCCAGCGGGAATGGGGGATCTCACTCTGTGAAAAGCTCAAGGGGTAAATCCTTTAAGTGCTCCTTGTGAACTACCAGTGAGCTCCCTTCTTTCCTGATTAAGGGATTTGGCATTGGCAACAGGAGGGTTTTTGCCCTCTGAGAGTGCCTACCCTTGCTGCAGAGTCTCTCTCCAACCCCACACTGCCATCCCTCCCCTCCCATCACTCACCTGACCCTGGGTTTTTCAGAGATCCTGGACCTCACGGTAATACCGGCAGCAGCCACCACTTCCACAGTGGCACTGCTGAGCAATGATGCACTGCTGACCTCTGATTGGCCAGCAGCTCTTGATGAGCAGGACTTGTGTTCAACATCTCACCCATTCACTGCCAACCTGTACAGTGAGTGTCCAACAACTGCACATAGGGCAGGAGAGGGCACACTAGTGAGGTTATTTAGAACATATTTTGGGGGAAAGGTGTACTAATGGGGGCTTTCCTGTTTGGCCACTTTTACATTGATTCTGCAGTTCCAACACTTTCTGTATTACAGTAGGGGCTATAATTCGAAAGTAGTTTACTGGCTATGAAGCATTCTTGGACCTCCTTATATAAATATTTCTGTGCTCTTTTCAGACTTCTATCTTGTTTCCCTTTAATTAATTCCCCTCTGTGGTTCATTCTAAGGCATTTCCACCATTGAGCAAAGCCGACCCTGCATTGCATCCCTGCCCCTGAGCCAGAAACTCTGAATTGAAGCCCTATTCCAGGTCTTGATGACCAAGGTGTGTTTATAATGCAGGCGAACAGGTCAATTATTAAGTTGCAAATATTCCCATCATATCCAATGAGAGAAGGTAAGAGTGGGAGAGATCCCTATTCAGCCATGTGATGGAGACAAGGTGGAGCCTTTACCATCTCCATCCATCACTCCAGGCTGTAATGTGCATCTATGTTGCCAAAACAACGCAGAGTTCTTGATGGGAAGGCAGCTGATTGGGCAGCCAATGTGGGTCAGTTTGGTGCCACCAGCTCAGGTTCAACCCTGGTTCTGGGGTGGATTCAATCCTTGCCTCTTTCCAAACCCCTGCTGGAGGTTGTGACACTAAGGATGGAATCTACTCTCCAGCAGAGAACTCAGGAAGCATTTACACCTCCTGGGTTTGGATACCAATCCTCTCCTGCCCCCTCACCACTCCGTCTCCTGCCCCCTCACCACCCCATCTCCTGCCCCCTCATCACCCCATCTCTTGCCCCCTCACCCCTCCGTCTCCTGCCCCCACATCACCCCATCTCCTAACTCCCCTCAGCTCACCCCATTTTCCATTGCTTTGCTGAAATAACCTTTGATACCGCCTGTGAAGCCGAGAACTTTTTTTAAGAAGGCTGTTGATCGTGCAATGCCTCCCTCCTTGTGATTTTTACCTTGTTGGCAGATTTACCCACTGAAAGCCTGGGAGGTGCCCTTTCCAGGCAGTTTTTTGCACTGGGTCTAATACCAGCAGGTTTGCTATTGTATCATTTACCATTGTGCAATTGACTAACTGTGCCTCCAAAGGAGAGGATGGCTCCAGAGCAGAGACTCAGTTTGTCTCTGTCTGTCCCACTGTGACTAACAAACTTGGTACATTTCATCCCACCAACAAGAAACAGCACGACCACAATACAAGCAACACTGGGAACGATTACCAAGGCCCGGGTGATGACCACATCAGCTAGAGTCATCAAAGAGAAGACGATCAGTCTGCAACAGTACATGATAACACTTTTTCTTATAATTGCACATGGGTTTGGCTATTGCTGATTGAACCAGCATTCATCACCCATTACCAATTGCCCAAGAAGTTGGTGGGCAGCTGTCTTTCTGAACTGCTGCAATCTTTTGGGTGTAGGGATGCCTGTGGTCTTCTACGTTGTCCTCCTTATTCTGCCAATTTTCACTGTCAATCACAACACTGAGGCGGACAATGTGCAGCAAGGAACAGCTTCACAAGGCCTTTAGCCCTTATCCTCCAGCCTTAATACCAGGGTCTCACACCAATTCAACGCTGGTACGTCATGACATTTTGCACCCATTCTTCAGAGAAACAGAAAGGGTGGAGTTTTACCGCCTACAGAACAATGGGTTTGGAAGTGGATGGTAGGGCGAGGTGTTGGAGAGGAACATTTTCCCATCATAATTGAAGGTCCCCCCAGAGGCAATGTGGCCATGAGGTGGGGAGTAGGCCTGGTGGCGATGGGAATTGAATTTGTTAGTGAGCCAATTGACTGCAAATTTGAGGAGCCTTTTTCAAGTTTACTAAGGAGCGCACTGGATCCACAGAGCTTTTGAACCTTAGCAGCTTCGAGGAGGTAAGTAGCAGCTGCTCAGCATTGGCTGGAGGTGCCAATCACTCAGGGTAGCAACATGGCAATTCATGGAAGTTGATAAATAGAAGCAAAAAAATTAAGAGGTTCTGCAAGATGGGTGAACACGTAACAGGCAGAATACTGGAAGGCTCCTCTCAGAGGCAATTCCGACATCAACTTCTGAGGGGTTTGAGTATAGGAGTTGGGACGTTATGTTGAGGTTGTTGGGGCCCGTTCTGGAGTATTGGGTCCATTTCTGGTAACCATGTTATAGGAAGGATAGTATTAAGCTGGAAAGAGTTTAGAAGAGATTTACCAGGATGTTGTCAGGAATGGAGGGTTGGAGTCAAAAAGAGAGGCTGGATAGGGTGGGACTTTTTTCACTGGAGCACAGGAAGTTGAGGGGTAACCTAATAGAGGTTTATAAAACCATGAGGGGCCTAGATAAGGTGAGTGGCAGGTGTCTTTTTCCCTAGGATGGGGGATTTTAAGAGTATAAGGCATATTTTTAAGGTGAGAGGAGGAAGATTTGAAAAAGACATGAGGGCTTTTTTTTACACAGAGGAAATAGTGGAGGTGGGTACAGTTACAATGTTTAAAAGACTGTTTGGATAAATACATGACACGAGGGGCAATTTTTTAAAACTGAAAGTGGTTTGAATGTGGAGTGAACTGCCAGAGGAAGTGGTGGGTGTGGGCACAGTTACAATGTTTAAAACACATTTAGATAAGTGCATGAATAAGAAATGTTTGGAGGGATATGGGCCAAGCACAGGCAGGAAGGGCTAGTTTAGGATAATGGTCGGCATATTGTAAATGAAAGGGTATGTTTCCGTGTTGTAAGATTCTATGACTCTATGACTCCATTCTAGGTCTTATGTGCTCAGATTTTGAATCGTCTAATGATGAGGAGAATGAGAGGGGGATACAAGTGGAAACACACACAGAGGAGCAGCAGCCTGAGGGTAAAATAGGACATGGAAAACAAGAACTGCCAGGGCCACGTAACCAGGCTCATAGCTGCAGAAGATACCACCCTTCCACTAGCTGCACCCATGACTTCAAAGATGCCCTCACTGAGCCTCTCCTTCTGATTCCTCAACGTATGAAACCTCTAACCCATGTGCTGTAAACATTGTACCTCCATTTCAGCTCTTCCTCCCTCCCATCCACCAACCCCTAGGGCCTAGTGACCTCATTTCTAGTGCAAAACTGGAACTTCCTGTAGAAATGGTAAAATACTGCTCAGAGTGTGAGAGAGAGAGACTTAAACTTTATCAAACAACACAAAAACATAAGAAATAAAAGCTGTTTGGAGCAATCGAGGCTTTCAATATTATTGTGGTTGCTATAGGTATTCATCGATTCCACAGCCAGGTTCAAACAAGATAAAGAAAACACGAAACAGGTCAGAGAATTAGAGAATGGTATAGTCCAGAGATTATAGAGAGATCTAGCAATGTTCATGTTGCACTTAGGAAATAGAATGTTATGATACAGTAGAGAGTTTTGGTCACAATGAGATGAAACATCAGGTGTTCTTGCCCATTGACTGGGAATCCTCAACAGCAGTGACACTTACACAGTTTAATACTTCAAAATGACCTGTTTACCTAGGACTTTAAACACCAAACTATACTGTTTTATAGATAAAAATAGATTTGAACAAATTATCAAATTGGAAAATTTACTCTTTATAGCGTGGCTCACTTTGTGGGTAAAGAATGGATCTCATAATCTCAGGATTGTGGGTTCAAGCCCCGTATCTTCAGTTAAGATTTGGATCAAATATGTCATTCCCAGATATAGTAGGAACTGCAGATGCTGGAGAATCTGAGATAACAAGGTATAGAGCTGGATGAACACAGCAGGCCAAGCAGCATCAGAGGAGCAGGAAAGCTGACGTTTTGGGTCTGGACCCTTCTTC